CCCCAAAACCCCAAAACCCCAAAACCCCAAAACCCCTTTTTTAGATAATTATATTGAAAAAGCACGAAATGGAATCTACAGAGCCATCAAAATCAAAGAAAGATAGCCAAAAGGTGCGTAAGAATAGACAAAAGGCTAGAAGGGAGTTCTTAGAGTCTATGAGTAAAGAAGAAAGAGAGGAGTTTCTTCTAAAAGAAAAAACAGAGAAACTACAGCAAACTAAATATGAGCAAAAAGTAATCAGATAATATATGATTCCTTGTATAGTTACTAGACAATATGCACACCTTTCCAAAAGTATACTTTGACTGTTCCTTTTGAGATACTTTGGTGTTTAAGGAGCTCAAATCACTTATTTTACAAATTAATTGCTGTATCAAGACTATGAAGAGCTGCAAAATGGTAAGTTAGCAAAAGTTACATTGGTGGAACATTAAATTCAGAGGAGAGATTTCTCAAGAAATTGACCACTAAATTTATTTCATTATTCAGTTATTCCAACTATATGTTTAAAATTTTATAATATTCTTTGAATATAAATTATACAAAACTGGATATTTTAAGCTAATAATGATCACTTTAGACTGATCTTTCTGAGGCAGAAGCTGATCAAGAACCCTTAGTCTATTCTATTAATATCACATCCTACAAGGACAATCTTCAAGAAACATGGGAAAGATGTGGAGTTTCAAAATTTATACATTCAAAGACCCCTGAAGACATTGAATCCATTTCTTTGACTAATGCAATTTATTTATCTCCTGATGCTACAGAAGACCTTGAGGATTTTGATCCATTAACAACAAATTTTATAATAGGAGGGATAGTTGACAGGACAGTTTCTTCGAAGTTAACTCTAAACAAGGCCAATAGTATTAATCCAGATGAGCAACTTCAATGCAGGAGACTTCCATTGCAAAAGTACTTAGATAAAAAGTCTAAGTTTGTATTGAACATCAACACTGTTTATGAAATCTTACTTAGGTAAAGTTTTAACTTTAGCTTTACTAAAATTTCAGGAGTATTCATGGAAATAACAATCTAATAATATTTATAGGTACTGTAACAGCCGTAATTGGGAAGAAGCCATCCTTCAGTCTGTTCCAATGAGAATCAGGGGTTAAAACAGCCATTAATACTAGAGAGGATAAATCTCAGACCAATTGAGAGTTTGTTATTCTAGCTTAATCAATTCAATTTTGTAAAAACCAAGAGGGGTTTTGGGGTTTTGGGGTTTTGGGGTTTTGGGG